AGATTGTAGGATTGACGTAGAGTGGGGTGGATATAACCATGGAAAGCCAGAGAATTGATCAGCAGGGTCAGCAGATGGGCAGGGGTTATATATGCCTTAGGAATTTTCAGAGACAGCCAAGTGATTCTTCAGATAGTTGAGGACTAAGGAATCTGGATAACAATTTTGACTTCCTCCCAACACTTACTTTCTCAGCTTATTGGATCAGATTCCAGAAATGTTTGCAGACACGAGGGAGACGGAGACAGTATTTGCCCCAGTTATTCAAGCTGGAATGGAAGCTCTGAAGGTAAGACTGATATCTCTACAACCTCCTCACTTCCCTCTGATCATCCTGTCCCCTGGGATACAACCTGTTTCTTCAGTGATTACTATCCAGGGAGTTAGCCTGACATAGTTGGCACTGAATAAATGACAAGAGATGAATGAGAACTGGATGAATAAATGAAAGAATGAACAAGTAGTCCTCTCTTCTTTCCTAGGCTGCTGAGTGTGCAGGAAAGCTGTTTCTGTTCCATACCTCTCTGCCCATTGCAGAGGCCCCAGGGAAACTGAAGAACAGAGATGACAGAAAGTTGATCAACACAGACAAGGAGAAGGTATGGGTTTGGGAGATGGGATGACTTTCTGTTACAAAGTGATGACTCTTCACAATGTCCGTGTCTTTGTTTTCTTGAAGGGGGTCTGGGACTAGTCACTTTGCACTTTCATATCACATCTATGACTGCTCGTCTTCTCTACCACTCCTATACCTCTCTCTTTTCATTCCTAACCCCCTAGGAAACTCTTAACAAAGTAGATCTGAAGTCTTACACATGAATATCCTATATTACATATACAGTCCTCAAATTGGATGGATCTGAGATAATTTCCTTTTATTCCTCCCCAGATTCTGTTCCAGCCTCAGACAGGTGCCTATCAGACACTGGCCAAAGAGTGTGTTGCTCAAGGCTGCTGTGTAGATCTCTTCCTTTTTCCGAACCAGTATGTGGATGTGGCTACACTTTCTGTTGTACCCCAGCTCACTGGTGGCTCTGTATACAAATACGCTTGTTTCCAGGTATGGAATGGAACTCTGGGTGGTGGGTAGAAGGCAGCTTGGGAATGTCTGCCTATATGAATAGTGACTTTTTAGCTGGCACTCATTAATAGGAATTGTATGGTGGTGGTCTTAGGAGCATGGAGCTTGGAATGGGTTGATATTCTGGCCTTACTACTTACTAACTACAAGACTTATGATTGATTTCTAGATTATTCTCTTTTGATTTTGCATCTATAAAATGGAATTTTAAATTTGGATTTCGCATTGGAATTAATTGATTATATGTAAAGCATTTAATGTGGCACATAAGTGCTTAAAGGATATCTTTAACATTAATATCACTATTATCATCTTCACAATTGTTATTAAATTCAGGTTTGTAGAGTGGTAGGTGTGGGGGTGCAGGGAGATTGCAGGATGTTATGTGTCACTCATGTGACTCTGGGCATGGGGGCCACAGGTGGACAATGACCAGGAACGGTTCTTGAGTGATCTACGTTGGGATGTACAGAAAGTCGTTGGCTTTGATGCTGTGATGCGGGTCCGGACAAGCACTGGTCAGTACTACTTGGAGAAGAGTAGGTGGGGAATTAAATCTGGGAGGGAGGCCAATGGCACCTGTCATACCTTTAGCCCTGTCTCTGTCCATGTGATCTCAGGTATACGTGCTGTAGATTTCTTTGGGGCATTCTACATGAGCAATACAACAGATGTGGAGCTGGCTGGGCTAGATGGGGACAAAACGGTGACTGTGGAGTTCAAGCATGATGATCGACTTAATGAAGAGAGTGGAGCCCTCCTGCAGGTGGCATATGGGAGGCAGGCAGGGGAGGAAGTATTTCACTACATATAAGTAGGAAAGAGGGTGAAGGGTAAAAGGGAGTAGAAGAGGCTGGGGAAGAAATGACTCATGTGTTCTAGTTAATATAGTAAAGGGACAGTTATTCAGAATGATTCGGTGAGGGAGGGGTATGAGTTCCCCCCTTTCTCCCTTCCCCTAGTGTGCCCTGCTCTACACTAGCTGTGCAGGGCAGCGACGGCTCCGCATCCACAACCTGGCTCTGAACTGCTGCACCCAGCTGGCTGATCTGTATCGAAATTGTGAGACTGACACGCTCATCAACTACATGGCCAAGTTTGGTGAGGATAGGGCAGGGCAGGGTGGGATTGAACTTGAAAGATCAGTATAGGTAACAATTTCTGGAGAGGTATGGTGATGATAGGGTACATGTCTTGGGGTGACTGGCCATTGACTGTGCTATCTCCCTTTCTAACCAGCGTACCGAGGGGTCCTCAACAACCCTGTGAAGACTGTTCGTGATGCTCTCATCACCCAGTGTGCTCAGATTCTGGCTTGTTACAGAAAGAACTGTGCCAGCCCCTCCTCTGCAGGACAGGTGGGGCAAGCATTTTGGAGGATTTACTATGTCAATTTTTTGCCTTTTGGAGGGATTTCTCATGATCATTGACTTTATTTTGATAACCTCCTCAGTTGATTCTTCCTGAGTGTATGAAGCTACTTCCAGTTTACCTGAACTGTGTGTTGAAGAGTGATGTCCTGCAGCCTGGAGCTGAAGTCACTACTGATGACCGTGCCTATGTCCGACAGCTGGTTACCTCTATGGATGTGGCTGAGACAAATGTCTTCTTTTATCCTCGGCTCCTACCAATGGTATGACTGAGGTTTGGAGTGTGAGACACTGCACTGAGAAAGAGGCATCTTAAAAGGAGGGGAGAGGGTAATATTATGTGTCTCTCACTAGTTTATTTCTACTTACATTACCAGATGTAATTTTTATACTGGGTTACTAAGAACCCAGAAGAGAGGGTCTCTGGATCTTGGCTTTGTGAAATAGTGAGTGTATGGGAAAAGGAGGTCACAGTGGCAAATGTGTTCTTGGTAACCTTTTGTCCCCTTCCTCCTGTCTAGACAAAGTCTCCCATTGAGAATACCACTGAACCACCAGCAGTTCGAGCATCTGAAGAGCGACTAAGCAATGGGGATATATACTTGCTGGAGAATGGGCTCAACCTCTTCCTCTGGGTGGGAGCAAGTGTCCAACAGGGTGTCGTCCAGAGCCTCTTCAGCGTCTCTTCCTTCAGTCAGATAACCAGTGGTTTGGTGAGAACAAGAAGTCAAGGAGAATATGGGTTTGGAAATGTACTTTGAGTAAAACCTCAAAATTATGTGCTAGTTCCCTTAAATAGCAGGAAACATTTGGAGGTGGGAGAGAGGTTGCTGTCATTCTTCCCAGGCTTTCAGATGATATACATCTGTGCTTCCCCATCTTGACTGGACTTAGAGTACTTTACCAGAAGGATAAACTAATTTTGTCTTCCAGAGTGTTCTGCCAGTTCTGGATAATCCACTGTCCAAGAAGGTGCGAGGCCTCATTGATAGTTTAAGGGCACAGAGATCACGGTATATGAAGGTAACACTGATCTGAACCCTGAATTTCTTACCCTGTTAAGTTTTCACCTGGAAAGGGGATTGGGATTAAGTGGATAATGGGACTTCAGTGTATCTTTAATTCCCTTTATCCCTGTCTCATAACCCTGTGTTCTGGCCACAGCTTATCGTGGTAAAACAAGAGGACAAGCTGGAGATGCTGTTCAAGCACTTCCTGGTGGAAGACAAGAGCCTGAGTGGGGGAGCATCCTATGTGGACTTTCTCTGTCATATGCACAAAGAGATTCGGCAGCTACTGAGCTAGATCACATGGGTAAATGGCATAGGGTCCCAGGCAAACTTTCAGAAAGTACCCCAGGACAGCAGAGATATCGGCACTGTTCATATTTTATAAGTCATGTAAGCTGACCTCAGTCTCTTTGGGGGGAGGGGGAGGTATAAGGCGACACCTTCTTTCTGGGCTCAAGTATCCTACCAACTCTGTCATGTCCTGCTGATAGAAGGTGCCCTGATCCCCTCACTTAACCCCCCCTTTTCCTGCTAATCCTGTCGTAATGAATGTAGTTTTTCAGTTCACTGTATATGATTCGGTGTTGGGGGATTTGGAGGCACCCAGATCCTGGCAATATTATGTGTCCTTTCGGACCAGCCTCCAATAAGAGGGGTAGGCAGGAAAGAGTGGGGATCCGGTGGGGGGGGGGCTAATTCAGCTCAGTGTCATCAACAACTTCCTATATTAGGGATAAAACATACAGGTGCACAAGAGCTGGGGTACAGACCGTAGGTGGGGAGAAAAGTGGCCCATTGATTTTTCTTGTGCCTGGAAGTCAGCAGCCAAATCACAGTTACTGAGAGATGGTTGATTAGCTTTCTCTTTCCACTGCTCTTTCTCTCTCCTGCAATGAGTGGTGATCACTCCATGGAGAGAGGCACATTGTCAGAGATGAACCAACGAATCTGGGAACTGAGTTGCAAAATATATTGACATCTGAAAGAGGTATCAGCCTCCTTTCCAGCTGGAGAGACCCTAACACTGGATGGTTCTGTAGGAAGCCTGGTCATCAACTTGCAATACCTCACAGAGCCAGCCCACACCCCACTCTAAGAGCTCCCATTGGAAACACAGCTTCTTCAAGTTAAGGGGTGTTGGGGATAGAGGCAGGGACAACTGGAGCTCTGATCTCTCCTTCCAGGACACCACTCGGATTTGGTATTGAGAGTGGCTGACAATTATCTTCCAACGCCAACTGGCTGGGGCCAGGACAAGGGCTAGGCTTGATGGTGGCCAGGCTTGCCTGCTCCCAGCCTGGGATGCCCCTCTTCTGGACCTCTCATTTCTCTTCATTGGTTTATTTTTCAATGCATCTTTAATTTGTAAAGAAATAAAATAAATTAAGATGTAAGCACTGGTCTTATTTTTACTAGCGACGTTATCAATTTCCCTTCCAGTTTTTACAGCCAGGCCAAGCAGCTCCTGGGAAGTGGCCAGCTGGAGTGGAGCTGCTGCGCATGCGTGTGGCGCTCGGGTGGCGTAGGTCTCCGTCTTGCCGCTGGCCGAGGGGCGGGGTCTCGGCTATCTGAGCCCAGAGTGGACATGGTGACCGGGCGGATCGCGGTTGTGCTGGCCGCCCTTGGAATGCTTGGTGTCTGTGTAGCCAGAGGCCATGGGCCTGCGCGGGTGGAGGAGACAAGCGGGGAGGCGGAATGGGCGGAGCCGTGGGATGGCGCCGTTTTCAGGACGCCTTCAGCGCTGGGTGCGGTGGGGGTGGCGCATAGCCCGGGAACCCCGCGGTCAGAAAGGGAGGAGGAGGCGGACTTGCCGGTGTTACTGTGGTGGAGCCCGGGGCTGTTTCCCCACTTTCCTGGGGACTCTGAGCGTATCGAGTGCGCGCGCGGCGCGTGCGTGGCATCCCGGGACCGACGGGTGCGGGGGCACGTACGGACGCGCGCACTGCTCTTCTACGGGACTGACTTTCGCGCGTCGGAGGCGCCCCTGCCGCGCCTGCCGCACCAGAACTGGGCACTTCTACACGAGGAGTCACCTCTCAATAATTTCTTGCTGAGCCACGGCCCGGGCATCCGTCTCTTCAATCTTACTGCCACGTTCAGCCGCCACTCGGACTACCCACTGTCCCTACAGTGGCTACCTGGGACCGCTTATCTGCGCCACGCTGCGCCTCCACTCTGGGAACGCGCGGAGTGGCGCCGCCGAGGCTACGCGCCTCTGCTGTATCTGCAGTCCCATTGCGACGTGCCCGCGGACCGGGACCGCTACGTGCGTGAGCTTATGCGCTACATCCCGGTGGGTGAGGGCGTGGCGCGGTTGGAAGGGGTGGAGGGCCGGCGGGTTGGAAGCCAGAACCCCTAGTCTTGACCTTTTATTCAACCCTGCTTAGGTCGACTCTTACGGGAAATGCCTACAAAATCGGGAGCTGCCAACTTCAAGGCTACAGGACACAGCCACTGCCACCACTGAGGATTCAGAGCTCTTGGCCTTCTTGTCCCGCTACAAGTTCCATCTGGCCCTCGAAAATGCCATCTGTGACGATTACATGACAGAAAAACTGTGGCGCCCCATGCACTTGGGTGCTGTGCCTGTTTACCGCGGCTCTCCCTCCGTGAGGGACTGGATGCCCAACAATCACTCCATCATCCTCATCGATGACTTCGAGTCACCTCAGAAGCTGGCAGAATTTATTGATTTTCTGGACAAAAATGATGAGGAATATATGAAATATCTGGCCTACAAGCAACCAGGGGGCATTACCAACCAATTCCTCCTGGATAGTCTGAAGCATAGGGAATGGGGAGTGAATGACCCTTCACTGCCCAACTACCTCAATGGCTTTGAGTGTTTCGTCTGTGACCACGAATTGGCCAGGCTGGATGCTGAGAAAGCCCAGGCAGCCTCTCCAGAGGACATCCCTGTCCCTGAACCTCACATTGCCCAGCCATCACATATGGACTGCCCAGTGCCCACGCCTGGCTTTGGCAGTGTAGAAGAGATTCCTGAGAATGACAGGTAAGGGTAAGTGGGGTCCCCTCCTGCCTTCAAATCAAATGTTTCCCTTCCTGTGGGCATTCCAAACTGAGGGGCTGTTGTGGAAGGATTATATGACATGGGCTCATCTACCTTTAAGGAGTCAAAGCATAGCTCTGTGAAAGATGTAAAATACCAGCAACAGGGCCCTTCCTGGCGGCACAATGGGTTAAAGCACAGCCGAAACCACTGCAGCATGAATTAGATTCCCACATGTGGGGAACTGACCCACACGGCACAGCAGACCTCACTTGTCTGGCCTGTTGCTCCCCTCAGCAGTATATTTCAGTAGATCTGCCTGTTCTGCTCCCCACTCTGTCTCTGGTGAATCCTTTCACCCCCTGCACCTCTGGCCTGTACCTGGGTTCTGTATGCATGAATAAATAAATCATGAAAAAAATTCAAGCAACAGCTTAATTAAAATCAGCTTGTGTGAATAATATTTAGAATATTGATTCATAAATGATTTCAACCAGAGAGCCTATCAGTAAGTGATGAGACACAAAGTTTAGTAGTTAAACTGGGGATGGGCCAGCAGTTGAACTGTCCTGAAAATCTACTCTGCTATTTTTTAAGCATGCTCTGTACCTGTGGGAGTAGGGGTGGGAAATACAAGTAAATATTTTGAGGTTAGGCTTGTCTGCAGTAGTGAGAGTTTATATGTTAACCTAACATAGTTATTAATAGCCACCTCCTTTCAATTTTAAAGGTACCCTAATTTGGATGTTCACTTTTAGGTAGAAGGAATGCTCTCAAAAGATAATAATTGGGCCTCCCTTGAGGTTAAGTGTCAGCACCGTCATTGTGGTTTGAATTGATCCCTGGCCAGGGAGGTAACTCACATATGACGCAGCAGACCTCTCCTGTCTCACCTGACGCTCCCCTCAGCAGTGTATCTCAGTAGATCTGCCTGTTGTGCTTCCCATTCCCTCTGGTGAATCTCTTACACCTCTGGAGTACACCCCAGTTCTTGTATGCATAAAAAACAAAAGACAATTAACAGTGTGGGCAAGGGAAGTGAAGAGGCTCTACTGTAACAGATGCAGAAGATGGTGGCTCTGGCAAACAAGATTAGTATGTGAGGTGGGATACAAAATGTTGCTGTCACTTGGAACAAATCACACCAGTTGGGGTGGTTTTTGAGATTACTGAGTTTGAGAAGTTGCTTCAATCTGTGGAGACTGACTTGGACAGTGGATGGCAGCAGAATGCTGCTTCTGTATTTTGTGGGCACAGTTTGATCTGAGATTGGAATCCTTCATCAAATAATTTCTACTTAGTTTATGTTGAACATAATATGATTTATTGGAGGAAAAGTGTAAAAACTAAAAAGAAATACTCAGCTATGTCTCATCTAGACAGTGGATAACACTGCACTTTGATTTCAATTATTGTAATAAAGGTGCATGCAAATTAACAGGTAGCCATGTAATTCCCTTGCTTTCTTTTACAAGACTGCTGCTTCCATAGTCTGGCTTCTGCCCTGCTTGCCTCTGAACCCCCTTCACATTTAGGAATATTCAAGTCAAGAGAAGGCAAGTCATAGATTTTATTCATTGTGTGGGCTATGTGATATGTTTGTGTTTATGGCTTACTACTCATCAATTGGACAAGTTCTGGGTTTACTTCTTTTGTTTCCATTTGAAGCACAGCCTTGTCCTAGCTAGACTATTGTGTTCACCTCAGATATCTTTGGTGCCTGTCAGAAATAGGCAGGACTCACATCTTTCCTGAGGTTTCATAACCCAATTGCCATTTTGTTTTTTAGCTGGAAGGAAATGTGGCTGCAAGATTATTGGCAAGGACTGGACCAGGGGGAAGCTCTCACTGCTATGATCCACAACAATGAGACCCAAGAGAGGAAGTTTTGGGATTACCTACATGACATCTTCATGAAACGGAACCAAAATCTCTGATTATCCTTGTGAAAGCCTTTAACTTGATAAGAGCTAAGGAGATGGAAATTCTTATTCCATCCTGGAACTTGATGGGGATCACCTGCACAAACTGGCAATGAACAGTCTTACCATGAATATAAGAATTTCAATTATAATTATGTATAGCTAGTTTCAACGTATGGTGATCAGGCTTCTCAAAGAAAGATGGAGGCATGCAAGTTTTGGTTTTAGTGGGAAACAGAATCCTGAAACATTCATTTGATTCAGATGCTTACCCAACATAATTTCTAAAGAACTATTTATTTCTCTAGCCATTTTATCCTCCATATCAAGTATACACATACACACAGGTGACATATATACACAAGTATATTTAAATGCTTTTGAAATGTTAAAAGGCCAGTGTTAATAAAAATGTGGATTTTAATAGTTCCTTGTTCTTTTCTGTATGCCTAATGATCTCCTCACTCTATTTCATTATAGGTATATGCTACAAAAATCTTTATTTTCCTGGAGAATCATGAAAATTACAGTGGGGAAAAAACAGTTCAATAATATAGCTCTAAACATCATCTCATATTCTGTAGCACTCTTCACTTTAAGTGAGATGATTATCCCAACTTTATTCACTCAAATTACAGATATCTTTTAGTATAACAAACTTTATAGTATATACGGAGACTACATTTGAGTGGAGTTCATCCTAAGCGCAAGAAATTAAGGAGCACTGTAATGGCTGGCTAAATAAAAAGTTGTGCTAGTCAAATTTGGAAATGTAGCTGTGGTCTGAATGCACCTAAATGGGCAGGAAGACAACTGGCTTTTTATAGGCTAGTGGAACAAGAAAGAATACCTTTGACCTTAGAGAGACCTAGTTGTTAATTTTGTATTGATGAATTATCAACTCTAGGAGTTCCATAACTTTTTACTATATCTGGCTATAAATTTGTGTGTATGTGTGTATATATATATATATATGCTAGCTACATATATTTTTTAATTTTTATTCTTTAAAAAAGTCCTTCATAAAAGCATGGAAAGGAGACAGACCTTCAAAAATACTTGTTAGAATTTGATGTCATAGAACCCACTAAAGAATCAAACTCAGGATTCCATAATTTCTAAGCTTGTGACCTATTTGAATGTAGGTCCTGCTGACTTTTAATGCAAAATACAAACTACTCAAGTGCAAACCAAGGTTAGAACTCAATTTTCATTATATGCAATAAACAGTAAGTTATGGTTATGAAAGTATAGAATCATCCTTACCGCTTCTAATTTACATCACTTAACACTGGTGTTTACTTTGCACTTTTGTGTACAAAGTCATCCAGTTGTTTATGAATGATTATGCCTGGAAACAAGTCTGTTTTGTGGTCATTGTGTCCCAGGACTTTCTCCTTTAGTCCTATTACCATAAATGTATTCACAAAAGAGCAGGGTAAACCAGGTGCCACACTTTCACAAGGGAAGGCAGAACCAGGAGTAGCCACATGGTACTTATCAACTAAATGGTTCACTTTTTCTATGAAGAAAGCAAGCAATGTGCTTTTTTTTCTGGTTTGGAGCCCACCTTGTTCTGTATATAGCAGCAGAGTTGGGGTTATTGGTCCCAGAAGTGCCTGATAGGAATCCACAATTATTTGTGCTGCTGGAGAAGAGTTGGAGCATGAGACTTTTTTACTGCAAGCCTTTATTACTACAAGTGTTGCTATTTTCTATTATCTCAGGTTTCATTTTGTATAATAAACTGCTTTTGAAACATCTTTTGTTTGATTTTATTTCTGGGATGGAGATAGTCAAACTGGACACTTGTAAAACATTTGAAACAGTTCATCTGAATTATTGGCACTTCTCTAGGTTCTGATGATTCATATGAAGAAAGATATGTCCTTTTCTTCATGTATGTGGGTGTTTGGGGTTAGTCTCAGCGACAAGTTAATTCAGCCTGTGATAGGTGCAATGAAGAAAATAAAAAGGTTGGTGGTGGGATGTGAGAAATCATACAAAATCTCTTTGACAAGACCTCTTCAGGAAGACCCCAAAATCTGTGATAAATTATTTTAGCACATTAAATTTACACAAATAATGTTCTCCAAAGTACTCATGAACTATAAGCGTATTCAAGTTATACTTCATCATAAGAAACATTTTCCCAATACTTTTGGGGCACTAGAAACATTTCCTGGAGTTCATTTGTAAAGCTTTGGTAATTCATAGCATTTCTTTGGACTAAATTTTATAAAGCGCTAAAGACACATCCAAGTCTGATGAAGCCTGGCATCATAACTGAAGGTCCAAGTCTATAAATTTGAGACACTACCAAAGATCACAGGGTCGTCTAGAGGATTAAATAAGTTGAGAGAAGCGAAAGTGATTATACCTCACCCTCTCCAGTGAGATCTTTACAAACGAGCAACCAATATTTAAGCAGTAGCTGTTGTCTATATACAGGCGCATGATTTCGTTTTTGAAGCTCCGTAGTAATTTTAAAGGTAGTCAAAACCAAAAGTTCCTGAAGGTTTACTATAGCAAAACAAAATCTTCCCCAACCTCTTAAAGTCTCTTGATTTGCTCCTATTTTCTCCGCCCTTGCCTATCTCAATAACCCAGTGTTCCATTGGGCTACCAGGAGAAACAAGTCCACTCACAGGCGCCCATTCCTAGGTATTTCCAGCTCAGTTTGCCCCAGACTATAAAGGAGCGACCGTGGTCAGCGTACGAGCCCCGGAGTCTCCTAACCTGCTGAACAGTCTGGGCCGGTGGTGTCCGAATTCAACAACCTGTCAATCCAGCCAAAACAAAGCGGCGCAGGCCAACGGACGGCCTAATTTTCTACGATCCCGGTGGCTAACCTAGTCGTACGCATAAAAGTCACATGGGTCACGCACGGCGCCGAAGAGCCTGCTGGGAGTCTAGTGTGCCATGGCGGCGCCCAGCCTGCGAGGTCGCCTAGCGCGGCTTGGCAACTCACAGAAACCTGTACTGAAACCCAACAAGCCTCTCATTCTAGCCAACCGCGTCGGAGAACGTCGCCGGGAGAGAGGCGGTGAGCATTCGGGGCCGTGGAGATTTCTTTGCAGAAATCAGCGGGTGGGAGGGCTGGAAATTGACTCACCGTCTTGCGATCTACCCGTTCAGAGGCGACCTGCATCACGGAGATGTCTGTGATGATGGCTTGCTGGAAACAGAATGAATTCCGTGATGACGCCTGTAGAAAAGAAATTCAGAACTTCTTCGATTGTGCTTCAAGGGCTGAGGTGACAGAGGTTCCTGGGATACCTTCTTGGGAGGAGAAAAGGGGAGGTGGGATACAAGTAATGGCTTTCTCTACTTAGTGCTAGGTGATTAAAGTCCTTCAATCTAAAGGGCTATTGTGGAGCTACTTCACCCACGCTAACATAGGATATTGAAGATATTGCCTATTTGAGTTATTTTATTTAGCTGCGCTGAGCTTTTAGCTACCAGATAAAAGCAAAGGTAATACTTGTACCCAACTTACAGAAGCTTGGAAGTGCCAAACGAAGGAATGCATGGGAAAACTACTTTGTAAAATTTAAATTGCACATCAATTAGACATCATTGTCTGCAGTGGACCTAAAGATACTGAGGGAAAAGTCATTTGTTTCCCATCATAAACCTAATTGCTATTTGGCATGGTAGCTTCAGACCATAATCATTTGTAGATCCTTATTCCTTATTGTTGCAAGGAAACTGGAAAAATGACATAGCAGATGAGTTAATATTTTAGTGTTTGGGGCATTGTAAGAACTATTGATTTAAATCAGGGAAAACTTTAGAGTTGTAATTCTTGTTTTTGTTTTGTTTCCAGGCAGCCCGAAAGATGAGATCATTCCAAGATACCATGGGAGAGTCTGGAAATTTACCCCCCAAGAAGTTGAACAAGTTATTACAGAGGTTTCCTAACAAACCACATATCAGCTGAAAAATGGAGAAGTATTTTCAATGACTGGATTATAACCTCTGAGAACTATGGAGAGAGGTTTTTTAGAGATATTTGCACTGTTTGTTTCTTTTAGAAAGGTAAAAGAGGCCAAACATTCTTCCCTCCACCCCCTTTAGAATCTTTGGAATTTAAACTTTGTCTTGAATAAAATCTTCTGAAAAGAACTTTGCCTTTTGTTGTGGATTAGGTACTCCCTTTATACTTGAGCCCTGTATAAAGGATTCTATTCTTCCCCTAGACTTTTGACAGCTCCTTACTGCAAGCAGAAGAAGAAAAATTTGTCTGCATTTGAAGTCCTTTATACCATTAAAGATATCTGAAGTCTGCCTGTACACAGATTTTTTAGGCCATTTGTATTTAGTAACTACTTATTTCATGCATAGATGCTGCAAGATTCTCCCAGAACACTCAGAAGTTCACAAACTAGTAAAGCAAAGGTATTGCAGATATATTTCATTTGGCCCATACAGTTGAAATTCACTTTTAATAGAAATAGGGAAAATTGTCATAAAAATTGACTTTTTGGATTTTTTTTTTTTAAATCAAAAGATCTGGCAATAATAAACTAGAGCTGATTACCACTTGGCTCCATTCTCTAGGGATCTTTACTCTGGGCTCTTCCAAATGGTGGAACACTGAACTGGCTATATTTTTTGTGTATCACCTCTTCCTTCTCATAAAGTTATCCACCTGTTGCTAAAGCCAATTATTTTTGTGAGTCCCTGATACTAGAAACAATTGTATAGCATTTATGTATATCCTGCTTTTAGGTATAATTGAGTTAACTTTTTCTATATACCTGACAATATTAAATGGACAGAGGGATTGGGGCAGGAGAGGGTTAAAATTTCAGTGGGATAATTATTAAAGGAGTCTTGTCTCTGGACTTCCAGCAGCTACCTCTTACCATAATCCTCATACCCCCTGAGTAGAGTCTTGGGAAAGTTGGGCTGTTTAGCTAGACGAAGCTCAGTCTTAGGCACTTTGGCCTAATGAGTTCTTAATTTAGGGTCAATAGACTCAGTAAGAGGAGTATGGTGGATGGAGAAATAATTATATCTTTACAGCTGAAACTTAACATTTTAATTAGGACTGTAGGAAATAAACTGTTGTCATTAACAATACCTACCTGAAATCATAGTGTTTTCATATATTACAGTTGGTTTCCGATATCTCTATCATTCATCACTGGCTTCAAAATTATGGTAGTTATTACATATGTTGCTGGAACTTACTGTTAAATAAAGAAATAAAACTAAGTTACAAATGTGTTTTAGTATTTTGAGAATTCTACTTCAACAATTGTTTCTTATATAATTCTTTTGTGCATTTATAAACGATGACAACATCAGGCTGCCAAAAGCTCCGTGGCACAAAAAAAGGCCAAGAACCCCTAGTCTCAAAGGCACTGCTGACAATGAGTACAACCATTTTCTGAACGTAAATGCCTTCTTTTAAGCCGGTGCTTTCCCAGCTAGAGACTTACATAAAGTTTTCTGGAATGGACTACAAATCCCAGAAGGTGATAGGGACCCAGGGCCTATCCGGAGTTAAGATAGTAACTCCACCCAAAATTTTCTGTGTTGTCTCTTGACAGCCTACGATTCCCGGCAGGCATGGCGGCTGTTTATTCCTTGGGGACATTATGGAGGCCGAGTTATGCCGGGTTCTGTAGTTGTCTTCTTTTCATGATGTTTGAGGGGTGGGTAAAAAAAAAAAAAAAAAGGCAGAAAGTGTAGCATTTAAACAAAAAGGTGTCCTACATCGCCAGCAATAGGTCCGGTTCCCGGGCGCGCGAGGGCGGAAGTGTTGTGGTCGGCGCGGCCGGAAGTTCAGATCAGCTGATGGGGGAGGCGGCGCCGCAGCCGCCTAGAGGCCCCGGCTGCCGAGCGCTTCGTCCGGGCCTTGAGTCTTGGAGACTGGCCACCATTCCTGTTCGCACCTCGCAGTTGGGCGAGGCCCGCTCTCGTCTCTCTCCCAGGCCTGAGATCCTCGGCCGGCACGGCCGCCCTGAACGCCCCGGCCACCCCCGGCCCCGGCTCGCCCCTCAGGCTCCGGGCCTCCCCTCAGTCCCCGGCCGGTGGCCCAGGCCCCGGATCCGCGGGGGGGGACCCGGCCCCAGGGGGTGCGGGCCCCATGGAGCTGATGTTCGCGGAGTGGGAGGACGGAGAACGCTTTTCATTCGAGGATTCGGATCGCTTTGAGGAGGATTCGCTCTGTTCTTTCATCTCCGAGGCCGAGAGCCTCTGCCAGAACTGGCGGGGATGGCGCAAACAGTCAGCGGGGCCCAATTCCCCCACTGGCGGCGGTGGCGGAGGTGGCAGTGGCGGTACCAGAATGCGAGGTGAGGGGGATCGGGGAAGAGGTGAGCGGGCAGGCCTGGTTAAAGAGCTGTCCCTGCTCGGGAGCTGTCCGGGAACGGGAGCTGTCCGGGACCGGGAGCTGTTCCTGTCTTAGAACGGACTTCAAGACTCGCTTTTCCGGTCTTCCTGGGGTTGCCTTCTCCACTCTGGAATGTGCGTGTGTGTGTGTGTGTGTGTGTGTGTGTGTGTGAGAGAGAGAGAGAGAGAGAGAGAGAGAGAGAGAGAGAGAGGAGAGAGTGTGAGAGAGATGTGTTTTAGGGGTGGTGAATCCTGGGTTGGATAGGATTAAGACAGAAAGTAGATCTTTTGTCATTCATTTGCCTTAGAGATGGGTTAAGGGAGAAGAATCTCCTCTGACTTGGAAATACTCGCGGAGTTCAGTCTCAGGCAAGCCAGAAAATAGAAGAGAATGTAGGTAGGGGGTGGATTGTGAAGAAGTGACCACTTGAGGTATAACAACCCCACTGATGATCTCTGTTCCCAACTGCAGCAAGAAGGGATTCCACCCAGTGGAAAGGAGGTAAACTGGCCTGTGAGAGAAAATTCCATAGTCACTTAGGTTTAGATCAGAGGTTTGGTCAGAGGTTTGGTTCCTGGTCCTAGTGAACATTTGTCAAGAAGCCAAGGCTGGGACCACTAGATTAGAACCTAAGATTTCTATCATCTGGACTTGGGGAAGAGTGTGTGTTATTGTCTCTGGAGTTTCCATATTGAAACACTGTGAGTTTTTCATCTGTGGCCTCTCAGAGAATTAATTAATGTTGTGATGAATTTTGCTTTTATTAAGAGGGATAGAGAGGAGAATGATGATAAGAGGAGCTCCAAAAGCTGGATACTCACCACATCCTTTCCCCTGCCTATCTCCTGGACTTTTTGTCCTGGGCTTCAATAGAAACTGACTTTTTTTCAGCAGATGAGAGTTTAATTTGTGATTCTATCCTGCTCATTCCAAGAGTTCTGTTTTCCAAACTCCCCTGCAGAATTTTCTAGCACTCCTTTGGGATAGAGAAAAATGCACATATGTCACTTTGTATAGGAGTGGTAGTATTCAACTTCAGCTGAAGAGGGTAGCAGATGCTCTGTGCACATGTGTGCACACACAGAGCTCATAGGCAGTTTCACTGAGGTTCTTCTTGACCTCGATAATGTTTTCATATTTGCATGTGTAGATAGTGATAGGTCTTAGAGCTTCCTCACTTTGAGGGAAGTAACTGAAATCATGGTGGTGAAGATTTTCACTATATCTTCCTGAATAGGTTAAAATGTAGGGATGCATGTAGTTTGTCCCCCACTCTATCCCCTCATCCCCTTCTTAGACTATCCTTAGTTGTCTTAAATAAGGACTTTTTTTTAAGTTTCTTTTCAATTATGATTTTCTGATCTGTCATTTAAATAGCAGTTTGGTGAGATATACATTTTGTTGTATTTAACTGTTTTTGATTAAAATAGTTTGGGAAAACTTGAGTGGTAACTCCATCCTACTCCATGTGAGTCCAGGAACAGCAGCTAGGCTCCCTTGGGAGAACCTATCCCCCAAGAACCTAGTTCCTGTCTAAGGGCTTTCATTTCAGGAAGACGGGGTTCAGGTGTGCCAAAAGAAGTGCAGCTTCCTTTGCTTCTGGAGGTCCCTCTTTTTTTTTTTTTTTTTTTTTTACATCATTTTGTACATTTTTTTTTCCCATCTCAATTGTAGTCCCTGCGGGTTTCCCATCACCAAGTCACCTGTGTTGGAGGTCCCTCTTTTAATTCTTCTAAGTGCTGGCCTATCTTCCCTCTTTAGTTGGAGAAGGAGACGTGGAATCATCTAGGGAAAAGGAAATAGCAAAAAGCAATCATAAAAGAAATGGCCAGTGGAGAGAAATTAACAATTAATATGAGTAAAGTGCTAGATATGGGGAATTAAATGCCAAGCCATGTGAGAAGGGTTTCTTGCTAGAATCCTGGAACACATCTTTTCTACACATTAGGTAGCAGGCTGTTGTTTGGGGATTGGTTAGCTTTCCTCCCCCTTAATGGAGTCTTAAAAGTTAGTGTATCCTGATAGGAGGGTCCCTTAGTTTTATATCCAGGTCTCCCCTTTATTTTATAGTGAAGGTGGGGCTCAGGATGTGCTGGAACTGGTGCCAAGTCAGCATGACTCTCTTGATTTTCCCCCACCTCAACCTTTGTTTCTAAAGATGGACTAGTGATTCCATTGGTGGAGCTGTCAGCAAAGCAGGTGGCATTTCATATCCCATTTGAAGTGGTGGAGAAAGTTTACCCCCCAGTGCCTGAGCAGCTACAGCTCCGAATTGCTTTCTGGAGCTTCCCTGAGAATGAAGAAGATATTCGGTAAGGCTAAATAAAGCTCTGATGGTAGGGTAGGGAGAGGGGTCCTGATATTCCACACTATCTGCTGGGGTTCCCACAGAACAAAGGAGATATTGTATTTGGGGCTGTGGTAAGAAGATGACGCAGAGGAGGGAGTACGTGATTTTCCCCAAGAGGGAATGACACTGGGAGAGAGTGTCCATGGCATTGTGGTCTCTGACAGGGTCTGTAGAAGGTTATTTGCTGAAACATGGTTCTGTCCTCTTCTTCATGCCAGGCTATATTCATGCCTGGCCAATGGCAGTGCTGATGAGTTTCAGCGAGGGGATCAGCTATTCCGCATGAGGGCTGTGAAGGATCCACTACAAATAGGTAAGGATCCTGTTATATCCTGTGGCACTCTGTACTACTCCCATCCCCTATGTTATGAATTAAGGACCTAATGCAAGAAATTGGAACAGGTTGTTTGAATAACTACTGAGCCAGGTTTCAGGGCAGAGACCTATGTTTTGGCAGCTTTCCCTGACCAAACCCATGTTTTTCCCCAGGATTCCACCTGAGTGCTACAGTGGTGCCACCTCAGATGGTCCCCCCCAAGGGGGCCTACAACGTGGCTGTGATGTTTGACCGCTGCCGGGTCACTTCCTGCAGCTGTACCTGTGGGGCTGGGGCCAAATGGTGCACCCATGTCGTGGCACTCTGTCTCTTCCGCATCCACAACGTGAGGCCCTCCCAATTTATTCTGGCCCTATCCTACACTCCATCCCCCCTCTCTACTGCA